TTTTTATTATTTTATTTTATTTTATTATTATTTTTTTTTTCCCCAAAAATGACTTGTATATAGATATAACAATCATCACTTCATAAATTTGATTGCAATTAATTTTTAAATTTTTATTAGGTCCCACTTCTAATATCAATAGAAAATGAGATAACAAAATAGACAAAAGTATTAATAGTTGAGACGATTAAATATTTTTACGGGATTTTAGTTTGTTATTATAATAAATAAATGAGAAAATAAGTGAAGCATATTCCACCTCGTTAAACCAAAACCCTCCCCAATCCCACATTGATTTTTCAGTTCAACTACAATACTAGGGAAAGGATATAAAAAAGGCTGGCTTCTATTCCCAAAACCCTCCCCGATCCCAAATCAGTTGCAAGTTCAACTTCAATCCTGAGAAGTGGATATAAAACGGGGCTTGAATCTATTATGTGACATTCACCTTTTGGGCCTTGTAATCAAAGTTTTCAAATTTTTTATTGGAACATCATTTAGGCCTTAAAGCTTGTCCTGGTAAAAGAAGTTTTCAAATTTTTTATAAGAAAAATTTAATGTTTAAACTGTTAAAACCAGGTTGGTTAGACAGCTAGTTGGTTGATTTTTGTCTGGGTTTTAAGAATTCGGTTTCTAGGCATAAACTGAATCGATTTTTGTAACGGTTCAAGGGTTTTCCAGTTGGACCGGCCGGTTCGGTCAAGTTTTGAAAACATTGATTCTACAACATATTACACAGCAGGTTTCTCAAATTTTCTTCAATGGCTATATATTACCAACATTACAATATTTCAAAGATGGTATCATAACTTGTAAAAAGCACTTGCCTGAATGCAAAGAAGAGGTATTGAGACATTCTTTATGGAATCTGAGCTGCTTGAGTTGGAATAGTAATCATCCACCGATGTAAATCCAAATGAAACTGCAAGTGTTACGAGGAATAAGCAATGAGTATGCAAGCAAAATTTAGAGTCATTTATGCATCTATAATTGACTACATGCCTCGTGTTAGTCCCTCATCAAATTCTCTGACAGATTTGGCATTAGCAGTCATTGGAATATCAAATTCACCTCCGATATCCTCAAAAAGAAGAGCATGCCTGCAGAAATGACACTTTTCAGTTAAACAATCTACAAATTGAATTCGAAAAGTCACACTGATACAAATAAAGACAAGATAATAATCCAATTGTTACTTCTTGAAAATTTTGCAGAGTGAATTTGCTAGAGCTTTGTCATATACAATGTTAAAGCCCTTACGAAAGTCTTCATCTGCAATTACCAAGTTGAATGGATTGCACAAGGATACAGCGCCAGAAAGAGGGCAAGAATGAGATTCCTGTAACAAGTTATCGAAGTATATATAAGATAAACATCGTAGATTTAGCTATGCAGAAAAAATTGGAAAGTACAAAGGGGAGACAACACAACAAGTAGTCAAGAGTAGCTAGTTTATGTAGCAAAAAAATGAGACCATGTCCCATTATACATTTCAAGATCCACAACATATATGCAATATGCTCCAAAAACAGAATTATTTAGTATTTGATTTTGATGAACATCTCAATATCTATGTTTTTTCTTTCGCTGGAAAACTTGGAGAATGATGTAGGGCCTTTTTTGGCAGGAAATTGCCATGTAACATGGTGGACTTAGTGAGACAGGTTAAAAGGTGTAAACAGTGAGTTCTTACAGCTCAATATCATTTTAATCTTTTAGATCATGACATAGAGTTGCATAACAGAAGGCCAAAAATGGTATCTCAGAAATCTAGCATGGAGTCGTATAATAGGTAACTCCGAAATGGTATCTCTTGCATGCTCTAGCTTATAATATGGTATGGACAGATAAATGAGTTATCACAGATTATAATTTTTTTTTTTTTTGGCTGGTAGAGGAAATGATTATATGATGAAATACTCCTATGAAAAGAGAGAAAAGACAGATAAATGAGTTATCACAGTTTTTTCTTTTTTTTTTTTTTGGCTGGACGAGAAAATGATTATATGATGAAATACTCCTATGAAAAGAGAGAAAATTTGTCTGGCTAGAACATTAATGCATTTGCATTGCTAAGCAAATGGATATCTTTTGCTTCCCTAATGAGTAATTGTCAGAGAAGTTAAAGCTTTATTGCATGTTTGCTACACAGTATAGGCCATAGTGCAAGAGAGAGAATTTTAACTTACATTCTTCATCAATATTGTCCATTGCTATCTAATCCACATTATCAACATGCCGTTAGTGAATACTTTAAGACGCTTTGAAAAAATCAAGTTTTATACAAACACTATCTATAGCTTACTGGCAACAAGACCACATTAAGCGATTAGTCCAACTAAAACAAGGATTTATTGCCATAAATAAAACTTGAGAAGAATGATCAATCAGACATGAGTATGCAATTCTGTTACCTGACCCAAATATCGAACAAGAATATTTGCTCCAAGCGACCAGCCAGCAGCATATAAATTAGCTCTTGGGTAGCGGTTGCCAATATGTGCAACCACCTCAGATATATCGCCAAGAAATGAAGCTGAATAAAGCTGCAGTATTTAATTAATTTACTGAAATACGACTTTTGACTAAAGAATTGGATTGATTTACTGTTAGAAAGTGAAAAAATATGCTATTAATTTTTCTTACTTTCAGAAATACTTGAACCATAGCATCATGCACTAGTTATCATCCCAACCATTTCATGAATACTGATTATTTAATTAGATTACTAAAACTTAAAAGCATTTGAAAAATACCTGAGGTGTGGTTACAGGGCTGTCTCCACAACCTCTGCTATTAAACACCACCACGCGCCATCCCTTGTTCCTAGCTCTCAACAGCATATGCCTCACGTATGTGTCGCCGCTCCCACCAGTCAGACCTGGCTGCAACCACACTTGGTTAGCACATTTTCACCTCTCTCCTAGGCAACCACCCACACTCAATCTGAATCACTCACAACAAGTGAATTGCAGTTGAGCACTACTTCACAATATATATCTATCTACGGAGACATATAAACATTGTAAAACCTAAGTATTTCAGCTCTTTTAAACTGAATATGTATATGCCCTCTGAATTTCTAAAAATAATTAGATAACTGTGGGTCCATAACAGATTTGGGTAAGTTTAAAACCAACTTTTTCATTAATTCTTGCAACTGAGCTTATTATAGTCTATTTCCTCGAAATACTTCCAGAAGAATTTGTAGCATTATACAAATACAAAGACCCAAAAACACGCACCAGCAAAATGAGCACCGGAGACTCAGAAGGAAGCCTTCTATCATCGCCAGAGACCCAGTCAAGGGCGACAGCACCGTTGTCTTGAGTGCGGAGACACTCACGACGGTATCTGACGTCAGGTAGGGACCGGAAAAACGCTGCGAAAATGGTCTCCACGTGCCGGTTCCAACCAAAAACCGGATAAGGAGTGTAGGGTAGAGTGATAGTTTTGAATGCCGGTAGCAATATCTCCATAGCTCCCCCGATAACTTCTAGGGATGGGTGGTGATCGTTAGAGGAATTAGCCATAGTGGCGGCAGAGGCGGACCTGGTGGTGGTGGAGGAGCGCAGAGTCAAATGAACTGAGGTTTTTGAAGGGAGAGCGCAATGGGATTGCTTGAGATGGCGCAGAGAGAAGGAAAGAGGACTGACGAAGCCCAAAGAGGCTATCGCCATTAGCGAGTTTAACGGTAGAAACTGTGTGGGTGATGACAAATATCAAGAATATGCCTTGTAATTTTCAGTTTTTCTTGTGTTCAATTGATTTATAAGAAAATGTTGTGGACGGTGCCGACCTCTAATCTTTTTAAACCACATAATTTTGGCAAGAGCAAGTGTAAATTTTTGTTTTTCATTCTTTCCCCCGTTAAAATAAAAAATACGATCGTTATCCATCACATTAAGTCACCAAATTCAAATTTCTATTTTTTGTGTAGAGTCCATAACGACTATATATTTCATTCTCATTTTTACAAAAAGAGGAAACAAACGCTCCCTAAATTTTTCAATATGTTCGAAAATGGATAGAATCATCCAGTTGCTTGTGTTAAGCATATCACAAGTTTTCCTTATCCTGGCTCGGTCATTCATCCCTTCTCTCCAATGAAGAGATATGCAAATGAAATGTAAGTTATTTTTCGATAGAAGATGTAAAAAATATATATACAAATTACATATTTTTTTATATTCACAAGCTACAAAAAGTGGATTTAAATATTTCAATTGGAGTAAACTTAAAATTTAGATCCATTGAGATGCAAATAATGATGTCTATTTATTGTTACATGCACCAACTAACTTCGATAATTTTGTGCCTGTAAGCGACATTTTCACATGGGAGGCCTTCTAGTTTATGAACCAGTGAGAGTTTGTTGTTGTTCATGTAGATTTGTAGTGTATTAATCTATTGCCTGCCTTCTATATTTGGTTGGTTCAAATGAAAATTAGCTGTTTTTAGTGCAGAAACAGGAAATAAAACTAAATTTTATAAAATAAAGCTCCTACACATACATATCATGTGTGCTGTCCCCAAATGAAGTATTCTTACAAGGAAAAACCTTGAAAGTTTTATGTCTTTGGAACTGATCGATCAATTGGAAATGGGCTTAAAATTCGCAACTTAATGAAGAAATCGAGGCCAACTGCAGCGAATATGAAAATCAGAAGATTTTCCGAGACATAAACTGCACCATCAAAAGCATGCGATAGTAAGCTATCCGTGTCCAACTGCAGTGGCGGTCCACCTTCCAGGGTAGCAAGGCCTGCACTCAGAAACCAGCACACATGATTCTAGATTTTGATCCAGTAGTCGTCCTAAATTGCTGTTATTGCTAGTGATTTCACAAGAAAAGTACCTTTGATGATGCCAAAAGCTGCACATGTTCCTGATTTTAGCTGGGAATCATCCAAGTCTCTTCTGATTGCATACCGGAATGTTACCCCATATAATGCACAACTAGCGAATGTGATTGCTAGAGGAAGTATTAGCTCGGAATAGCTTGTAACCCGAGTTAAGGATATCGGAAGCCCTGCAAAGGTCCCAATAACGGCAGAAATTAACGCAGCTTTAATAGACTCCAGTCTCTCCTCATTTTTGTACAATTCTTCACTTTCCGAATCCATGACTCTGCCACCATCGAGAGTTAAAGATTGTTCCGCTTCCTCAACCATTGCTCTTGCTTGTAATATTTCTTTCTGGCATTCTGCTATCTGCAATTGCAATACCAATCAGTATTCTCCAGCAATGTGCTGAGTTTTAACTGCTGAATCAAGGAATATAAGTCGGACAATTTCAGTGACAGTTTCATTAACTAACATTGAAATATTTTGCAAATCATTTGATTCATGTTGGTTCACACATTTATTAGGTCGCCCTAAATATATTATGTGTCATAGTAAACAGTAGAGGGAGGCTCGAGTCCAAAATACATTGTAATTCTATTCTGGGATATGGACCATATGGTGCAATTTTGCAGCGATGCCGGTGGATATAGCTCTCACATTTAGGGTGAACCACATTAAATCGTGTGTTTCTTTGTTTCGGTCTTCCCATTACATGCTGTTAATTGCTCAATATAGCACAAATTATTCATTTAATTCATAACAATCCAGAGCAGTTGAATGTTATCTTGATCAATCATCATGACATTAGTAGGCACATCAATAAATAAGGCTCACAGAGGACATATAACAAGCACTTAAGAGTGCAAGATTTACCTCGGTGGCTTTTGATTCTAGTTGATTGATATAATCCCTCATCATCTTAGCTTCAATTTCTTGCTTTTCAATCTCAGCAAGCTCTCTCTTGGCCCTTTCAACTCTCTGGGTAGCTTTCTCAAGTCCATCCAACAAAACCCTGTTCTCTTCTTTGTTCAACAATTCATCTACTCTCTCGTCCACCATACCTGACAAAATGTCCTTGAAATTGCCCCCATTTTCGCCACTGATACTTCCCGAGCTACCATTTTTGCTGCACTTCACCGTGAGTGCTCGTGTAATTGAAGATAATGATAACTTAGGGTGTTTTGCGGTGATATACAGCGTTTGTATGAAGAAAGTTTTCGGGCTCGAAGATGTGAGTAATGAGGGGTTGAATATGAAGGCTGCTGTTGCGGCTGTCATAGTGGCTAAATCTACTGCTCCATGGAAATAGAAGGCTCTTATAATTACTTATCCTATTGTTGTCTAAACCATTTGGATTTCCAGTGGCAGATAAAAGCCTGGTTTTAATATAAATTGCAGAGAAAATGTATTTAAATAGTTATTGATACTAATATAAAATCATGAGTGTGAAAGGTGAAGGGAAATTTAAAACATCACTAGACTATGAAGGCTGGCCGAGTCGATCATCGCACTATGAGGGTGGTCGACAATTAAGGACATCAACTGCCACAGTAAGAGGGTTCAATCAACCTAAGAGGTTAAAATGGCACTTAAGGCCAAGCGGCCACTCTTGCATCATAGTCGTCATCTATATATCTTAACAATCTTGTATTTAAATAAATGACTTTTGTAGAGTTTAAAGAATTTTATTTAAATTATTTTTTTATAGAATTCATTTGACTTCTACAAACTTTCATTTTAGAATTCACCACTTCAACGTTGCCTTTGATAGCTTCAAACTGACCGATGATATGGATTTCCAACATTTCGAACGATTGTTCAAGAGTCTCCACAAGCTCATCAACACCATCAAGGATCTGATGGAAGCGGTCTCCCGGGCCCTTCTCTTGTCTCTTTTCTTCAACTTTCCCCTAATGGGAGCAACAGCATTCCTTCTCTCCTCAATCCTAGTTTCAACAGCATCTCTATGGTCGTCATTGCAGTAACTCTCATTGTTGAGCTTAACTTGTGCTCTGATACCACTTGTCATGGGCTTAGTGTTTTTGACAACCGCTTCAAGCACCGTTGCCCTGAATGTTGCCAAGTTCTCACCCCTTGCAAAAACACATTAAGTTGGTCCTTCAACCCACGAATTTAACCCCTTGAGGTTAAAGAACTGCAATCGGACTTGAGAAATAATGACAAAAATGTAGAAGAACAGTTTGGAGAATATCTTCTTTATATTCAAAGAGAACTTTATATAATTATAAGGGAAATCACACAATCTCACTATGTGTTTCTCTCTATAGCTATACAATGAGTTGAACAAGTATTTGTAGCCAAACAAAAAAATTCAAATTGATGGCTGAGATGGACAGATTCAAGTTGTTGAATTTCTGCAGATTCTCATGTATTTATGCATCTTATCACTCATTCCAAATTTAGATGATTACTGAACTGGTGAATTTTTTGTGATCTCATTCTCCTCATCGATAATTTGGAAGCAAAATGTGCAAACGGAATAGGTCGTATTTGCACTTTTTCTTGCACCAAACATTTTCATTAATGTTCCTCCTGAGTGTGTTATCAGTTATGATTTATGAATTTTGAGTGGTTTGAGGAACAATAACCTTCGCATCGGCAACGGGGAAAAATTGTTGAAACCACATTGCCCAACTACATTTTCTCTCTTATAGATTCTTATATACAAAATTTATATATTTGAATAGAAGGCAACTGATACTATATCAAAAGATAACTAAACGAGCTATAGATGTTCCTCACATTTTTTATGCCTTGTTTGTCTATGAACACTGAGGTTGTAAATTCTATTAAGCATTGATCAGATGCAAAATTTTGTTCAAATAATCAATAAGCAAATGGAGTATGGAATGAAAAATGAAGATGGTGGTTGCAACATAAGCCTATGCAACCGCATGGACTATTTGGCCATGCAGTCGCATAGCCATAGTTCGAAACTTGGAGGCCAGTTTTGGTATAAATCATGCGACCGCATGGGATTACACCATGCGGTCTCATGGTTGTAATTTAGTGACCGTTGGAGGTTGGTTTTGTTGAATTCTGGCAGTTTTTTGGAGGAAACACTGCAAATTTTCATAATGATTTGGCACCAATTCGTGAGGTATTAATTCAAACCTATAAATAGGTGATGAGATGATCAATACATATTATTGAAATCAAAGTGCAACATATGAATCATAATCTTCATTCCACAAAAAAAAGAAATCAAAGTTTTCTTCATCCATATTCAATATTCCCTTTGTGTTCTTCAAGTTTTGGAGAATTTATACAAGTGCTTAAGTATTGATTCTCTACAAAGCCTGATCAATCCTTTGAACCGTTTGCCGCGAGACCCTTTAAGCACAAAAAATTGTTACCAAGAGAGGGCAATTATCGTTTGACGTCAACGACTTAATGTCGTGTTTGAACCTTCATATTTATTTAGATTTTTCCCATTATTTTCATCGTCTTGAATTTCCATTTCTTGATTTCTTCTCCAAACCCCAGTGTGATAATTTCCCAACAGTCTGAAATGATATTTGGCGATGGAGAACAATAATCATTTTGGCGAGATCAAGTTGATGAGATCTAGATTTTGGTTGAAACGTTCAATGGGACGAAACATCATGTGAAGGCAAGTATGAATTCTAAATCCGGATTTAATATCACAACGGAAATCAACACTTCATTGAAAAAGGAAATCTGGAACTTTTGGAAAGAAATGATTGAATCCGATAAGTGCTATATACTTCATTTAATTCAATAAATGATAGATGATGATTCTATGGTTGAATAGCCAAAAATGCCTACCTATGTGTGTCAAAGACCATGATTTTTAAACCTTTTCGGTGTGCATAATTTACATGGATAAATCAGGCCAGCGGACTAGAATTTTGCTCAATCTGGTCTTGACACTTGT